CCTCCAGGGTCTCTTGATCCCATTCCTGTGTTACTTGCTCCAAACGGTGCTGAGCCGCATTCCTCTCAGTAGTCACCCGGGCTAGCTCTACCCTTAGCCTTTCCACCTCAGTAGGCTCCGAACGGGGCTCACGAGGAGCTAACCGGTGACGAGGCGCCCTGCCTCCAGCGGACTTGCGAGTAGTGAGTTTCGTGCGCGCCATCTGTAGCAAAAAGTTGCAACGTAAGGGGAGAATCATTTAAGGGATACGCAATTTAATTAGTCGGGACAATCATATTTTAAAGGAGAGAGTAATGCAAAAATGCTATGTATGCTTAAACATGATGCATGCACGATCCGTACGTCCTCACGACCCTAGAAAAATTTAAAGGCTAGCGAATATACGATGGCATACATACGTTCTCTCGTATACGGTATCTAGTCGATCTACAACGATACGTTGTTAGTGTACCTGCAGAAAACTTCATTTCAGCCCAATAATTTTCCAAAAAGGCATGTAAAGTAAGCAGTAAACTAAATACTTTCATACATACATCCCCCGATGCATATACTCTAGTATCACAGCTACCCGTCAAAGATACCCACATTTGAGTACTCTCATAGATACATGATCGAACATGTAGTATGTGAGCAACCACAACTACTCTCCCCTAGACCGACAGTTGGACAGTCATGCTCTCACAACTCTCCACTTACCAGAGCGTAGAGGTATTTGGATCCATACATTACCACCCAAGCAGATGGCATCCATACAATAGCACGCCGTATGGACAACGAAACAGAAACAAGCAGGAACCCCTAAATTAGTACTTTAATAAGCCACCTAAGAGTCCTTATTTGGGCATAAGGGATATGACCACTGGCCATACTTAGTATTTAATTTAGGATTTTCACAAATACTTTTGTTTTAAATACACAAATGACATGTTTAGTGTCGAATCTTGCTCTGATGCCAGCTGTAACAGAACCGACCAAATCATAAGAACGTAAGTACAAAAACAATCACCGAAGTGATCAAATTCTTGTACTTAAGCTCCCATAATCCCGGTAGTCCGGAAATCACAAAGGATTTCAACCAACTCTCGACATACAAACCAAGACCGTAGTGATTCAACACAACACATCATTCGTTACAACATTTCACAAGTAGCATTCGGATTACATCCATCAGAGTTCAAATAAAATATTACAAACCAAGTTTACCAACTTGTTGCACATACCAAAGGAATATCAGAAAGTATAGTGCCAACCTCTAAATAAATTATTTAATGTCCTTTTCTAATTTATTTAGTTAATTAGGTGATTAAAGCAATATATAGTAAAAGTGTTCTGAAAAATCTACAAAAATTACAGTAGCTATCTCATGCTTCACATAGACTATCATAAAAATTTTAAAGCCATTAGACAAGCAGAACTTGTTGTATCCAAAATAACAGATGACATGTCTATTTTTAGCATAATTAGGAAACCCTATTGAAAAGTGTCAAGCAACAGATTTCTCATTTTTTCTAGCATCATTCTAGCATAAGAACAGCACTCACCAAATTTTACCCTTACTGGATCTATAGAAAAATTAAGAAAATTCACACAAGACCCATCCATACAAATAAGAGAATTTTCTATCTCCTACATACAGTGTCCAAAATATATGAAAATTTAACTACAAGCTATTCATGATATGAGCAGTACACCATAAAAATTTCATGCCATTTGGAGCTACATAGAAAAAGATATAATCACCCCTATTTCTTTCATGATTAAAAGAGATAATTAGCAACTCCATTTTTCATAACAGAATATAGCATAAATTATATTTTTAATAAAAACTAGACATTATCATGAACTCAGCAAAATTGGAACCACATCATTTGAATCTACCAACTAGGAGATACATATTTTTGAATCTATACACCAATCTGTGAAAAGAATAAAACAAAACAATTTGAAACCCTAATGAACTCACTGGGGGCGGCTCAAGAGACCCGGCCCACAACAAGACATGCAAGAAGCGTAGCCCAGCCATGACACGGCCTAGGCTGGCTCCCGCCTCATTGCAGCCGATCGACATACGGGACCCGCCTCGACAAAGAGACAGCGGGGGAGGAAGAAGAGACAGCGGCAAGAACGCGTCGCCGGTGGCATCTCCGGCGAGTCCAGCGGTGCTACGGCGTTAGCCTCATCAATGCGCATCTAACGGTGCCATCTATTGAAGATATTGTCACAGCTAAAGGGGGTGGCAACGGTCATGGCGGCGCACGGCCACGGCATGGCCGGCTCCGGCGAGACGACGGCGCCACTGCCCTAGTGGGTGACCCTATGAGCTTCAGTAGCGTTCACAGAAGCTCGCACAAGGGAGAGAAGGGATGAGAAGGTCACGGTGACAGCTTGGCGCGTGAGCGCCAACTCCGGCGAGGTCTCCGCCATGGCGGCGGTGGAAGAAATGGCGATTTCGCCCCTTACCAAGGCTCAAATGGACCGGATCGAAAGGTGGAGGTGGTAGAGGAGATCACGGCGGCTAGGGGCAAGATGGTCACATAGCATTTTTGTAGTGGCGAAAAGAAAGCAACGGCGACGCTCGGTCGAAACTGGAGGAGCTACGGCGGCTCGGCGCTGCACGCGGTGGAGACGAAAGAGTGCAAATGGAGCAAAGGAAAGGCCGGGCAAAGGCCGGCTTTCATCTGAGCTTGACGCCACGCGGAGGCGGCGGCGGCGAGCATGCACGCCACGCGGCGATCAGCTCCTGCGCCAGTCAGCCACGGCGAGCTCTGACCGTTTTCTGAAATTTTCGATTTAGTGTTCAATGGCGATGACTGACAGCGCAAATTTGATGATCCGTAACTCCCAAACGGTGGCGATGTGGTTCATGGTATAGTTAACAAAATTGAAGACCTAAGTGAGTACTACAACTTCTTCAATTGGAACTCGAGTTGGTTCGGCCTGGTTAGGGAGATACAAGCCTCCAAACATTGGTACACAAAACTGTAAATCACTTAAGGACTTAGAAATATTTTCAGTGTTGAATCCACCATCAACAATGACTTGTGGGCCATGTTTGAGGCTGTTCCACACATTTTCATGAGTTGATCATAAAACAACTTTTGTTCCTTGATAAATTAGCTACAACTTTGGTAAAGAGTGCACAGCCATGCAAGATCTCTAAATTGGACTTTTGAATTAGTCAAACAGTGTCACTCTGAGGTTCATTTCAAGTCAAACCTCTCCTAAAGGGCAATTTGGTCATTTTGGTCCACATGAACAATGTCCAAACAATTACCCTAAGTGTAGTTAAGGTGTATTAGACCATAATCAACCACTTTACACAAGAGCTATACCAATTTCTAATGATCACATGTGATGAAGCAACAAAACAAGCAATTCACTCAAATGTTGCAATTCCATGTTTCACATGTTTCATTACTTTTGTTGCAATTTTAACTTGCCACATTCCTACCATGTTGCCATGTTTCAAGGTATAAGAAACTCATGTTGCATTCACATGTTGCACTACTACCATTCACAAGCAATCAAGTATGAAACAAACATAATTGCGAATGTTGCGTATGCATGTTTCAGTGACAATGGCATGATGAGATACATGATACACATGTTTAAGAATTGAAATGCAATTTTGTAGAAGCCAAACACCTAGGGTGTTACATGGATGATCATTAACATGTAGTGTTGCCTCCTTAACGTATGGTTCTTTCTTGACAGTATTTGCTTGGGTTTAAAATATGCGTTGAGAATTAAATTCTTCCAGAATGTTAAAAAAATAGAGAGTTGTTCTCATCCATTATCTAAGGAAAATAAACATGATGCAAAATTATGGAGCAGCTCATTTGTTCTAATCCATTATCTAAGGAAGTTGTCCACATGTACTTAAATCTAGCTAATTATTCCTTCAATGATAAGTAGTGTGTTCGTCAACGGTTAAAAATCTTTGATGATTTTGTGAATCTCAAGACCTTTGAACTAGTATCTCGAAGGCATTCTTTGGGATAGGATGAGTGCATATTACAACCAGCTTTTTAGCAACTAGTTGTCATTATTATCATTGTCAATTGCTTCTTTCCAATTATCATGCATAACTTTAACAGTATCACGAGCATCTTTAAGAGACTCTTTATATTCTTCCTAATTTACAGAAATAAAGATTTTGGTGAAAAAATGTTCTCCAATAGACTCTTCAATTGGATATTCAAATATAGACATTCTCTATTCCGGATTTCTCGCTGGCCAAAGATAAAGAGCGATGATAGCTCTCTGGACTACGATCTGAGATATAGAAAAGCTTTCGGAGAGTATAAAGATATATAAAGCGATCTTTACTCAAATGACTCTTTGAATGATGATTTAAAGAATAAATTTTAGAAACACACTTGATACCCAAACCAGTAGAGTGTTATTAGTAGTCGAAATAATCACCGAGAGATAACTAGTAGTAGTTATATGTAAAAACAAAAGCACAAATTACTTTTGTTTTAGAAAAAAGCACAAATTACTTTTGTTTTAGAAAAAAGCCCAAATTACCTTTTTATCTGCAAATTACCTTTTTTAAAGCATAGCCAAATTGCCAACACGCCACCACCTCCACAGGTCAAGCGGTGTTAAAAGCCCGCTAGGGTTAAAAGCCCACTAGGCACAAATTGGACGGGTCCGTTCACATTCAATCCCGCAACTCCGGTCCACAACCTCACTCGGCCGCCGCCACTGCCTCTGACGCCGGCGGGAGCCCGGAGTACGATTCTTCCACTACGGTAGCCGATTTCCGGTAATCCACCCCACCTTCGCCCGCCTGCACTCCCCGCTCCTTCATCCCTTCGCTTGTCTTGATCTCGCCGGTGGTCGCGCACGCGTGGTGTTCGACGAATTGCCTGCGTGCTCGCGCCGCCCTCTTCGTCGTCGTCGTCGTCGTCGTCGTTGTGCTTGCCGTCTTTTGATTTTCGATGTCTCTTCACTCCTGACTCCTGCGCTACTGTCTTCGCAGCGTCGCACACCCGATGGCGCTGCCGTCGTCCTGGTCGGACATCCCACTGGAGCTGGCCGGCCTGGTCCTCCGCCACCTGCCCTCGCACGTGGACCGCGTCCGGTTCGCCGCCGTGCCCACAGTGGCGCGCCGCCGCCCGGGAGGTCCCTCTTCCCTCGCCGCTGCCGCTGCTCGCGCTCCCCGACGGCATCGTGTACAGCCTATGCAGGGGCCTGTGGCAACTGGCTGGCCTTCTCAACCGAGGACGGCTGCTTCCTGAGGGACCCGTTCTCCAACGCCACCGTGACACTTCCTCAGGTGTTCCGCGTCCGAGCCCCATTTCGCCTCAGTGAGACACGCGTCTCATGGATTGAAATCGAGGAGGCCCCCGAGAAGCTTACTATGTACAAACCGGTATTTTGCTCCCGCCAACTCATCGCCACATTCATCACGTTTCAGTACAGCACTAAGGTTGCAGTGTGCCAGCCAGGGGCGGCCTCCTGGTGGTCGGTACATGTGGATCACCGGTTTGAGCTGTCTGATGATAGGGCATTCCACCAAGGAAAGCTCTACATCCTCAATAACGACGACCATTGCCTTTTTGCAATGGACATCAGTGTGCACCACAGAACGGGAGATCCATGGATTTGTCAAGTTCGACGTGTTATCAGCAGCGTCCTGATTCCTCGTCCTGCAATTAGGGGCATATGCCTAAATGAACATCAGAAGATGCTCTACCTGGTTGAATTCGAATCACATGGCACGTTGCTGATGGTGCACAGGAAGACATACGGAGAGGGGAGGATCGGACCCAGATGGTTAGTGGCGGGCACATTTATCGCATCCGGGTGGGAGTTTGAGGTGTTCATGGCGGACTTCCAGCAGTCAAAGTGGACCAAGGTGACGACCATTGGCGATGACCAGGTGCTTTTCCTGCAGAGGCGGTGCTCCAGGTTCATTCGCGTCTCTCCAGAGGAGATGCCGGGGGACCGCATTATCTTCCTTTGTACCCAGTGTGCATTTTGAGCGTCGCTCTGTACCTGCAACGTGGCTCTTCCCTCAGGTCTGAAGTGATGCTGTCATTGAGATTGCCGGCTGTTAAACGCTTTGATCGGTGCTTATCACCGAGATTGTGATCTCAGTAAGCCTGGTGTTTATATTTTCATGCTCAATTTGTCAGCCTGTTGCTTGAGGGTAGTGATTTCAACTTACTACAAGTACAAGGGTATCAGTCTGATCTGAAACGTGTTGGATGTTAATTAGGCATATATCTATTATGTTATTTTGTGTTGGAATTGGAATGGTCCATGTGGAACTGTGGCAAGCTTATATTATAATGCAATCATCTTATGGCTTGGATGCTTTTCTTGTCCATGTACTTAGTCGCATGCTCCTGAAGCAAATGGAATGTATGCTCTTTCTGTGAACTACCATCTGAATTGATTTTGTGATTTGTAATGCGTGCCATTAAGCTTCAGATCAACATGCTATTTTTTTAGCATGCCATTAAGCTTATATTATAATGCAAACATGCCATTTGATAAGTCTGATTTCCCTGGAATAATCATGCACGCTGTTCAGTTCTCAACTCAACCAAACTCCTGATTGTCTTATGGAGTAATCTGATATATGTGGGGACTGAACAGGTGAAAAAAGAATGGGAGTTTGCCATGAATCTGAACTGAAAGTCTTTTGCTCGAAAAAGAGGTAATCCACATTTTGTTGTTGTACAAAAGACAAAATACATGCTTTGTTTTGGCGAGAAAACAAAATACATGCTTTTGGGTTGCTGAAATGTTGCAATACTGGGGCAAACTAAATATTGAAAGGATATGTTAAAAAAAACATTGCAATACTATCATAGGCAAACAAAAAAACTAAATGCATGATTTTGTGCAGATGAAATATTGCAATACTATGATGGGACAAACTAAAAATTAAAAGGATATGTTGAAAAACAGAAAAAAAATGAAAGGATATGTTGAAAATTGTAAAACAAAATTGAACTAAAATTTAAAGGCTATGTTGAAAAACAGAATTTTTTTTTGAAAGGATATGTTGAAAATTGAACAACGAAATTGAGAGGGGATATGTTGAAAATTGGAAAACAAAATTGAAAGGATATGTTGAAAAACAAAAAAAAGGGCGTAACCAGTGCAGAGAGCTCTCGCTCTGTGCGGGGTCTGAAGAAGGGTGTTAGTGGCGAGCCTTACCCTCGCCTGTACAATGCGAGGAGACCGCGACTCGAACCAAGACGATAAGACTCTATCGCTTGCAACAGGCTTGCCCTTCGATACGTTGAAAAACAGAAGAACAAAAAATGTCTAGGGACCTCTAGTGTGTGAGACTATAGCCCTGTTTGGTTTCTACATAATCTCCTAAATTTTTCGTCACATCGAATATTTAGACACATGTATGGAGTATTAAATATAGACTAATTATGAAACTAATTACACAACTTGTGACTAATTTGCGAGACGAATCTTTTAAGCCTAATTAGTCCATAATTTGACAACGTGGTGTTACAGTAAACATGTGCTAATAACAGATTAATTAGGCTTCAAAAAAATCATCTCGCAAATTAGCCTCTATCTATGTAATTGGTTTTGTAATTAATCTATATTTAATACTCTTTATTAATATCTAAACATTTAATAAGACATAAATTTTAGGAGCAACTAAAAAACCAAACACCTTCTAACGCGAAGACCAACTATACCACCCAGACATAACGAGATTAAGGTCTTTTTTAATGGCCCTGTTTGGATACTCTAGCACAGCTAGAGGTTAGAGTTAGTTTCTAGCTCAGGACTAGCCCTGAACTAACTCTAGCCTAAGAGATGTTTGGATACCAGGGTTAAAATGATAATAAATGTACTTTCCAAATCATTAGTGCGGGTGAAAGTAGAGAGAAAACAGTGGACCCCACCTCAAATAGCCCCAACTAGCCTAAATAATCACCTCTTTGGGGGAATAGTTTTTTAGGGTGAGCTGGTTACAAATAACCCACTATAACCCTCCTGTTTGGCTACTTTAAGACTAGTTAAGCTCTAACTAGCCCAAACTAGCTCTAACCCATGGATCCAAACATGGCCAATATAACTGTGTTTTGCTTTCTATGCAGTGAGTGAGTGGACTGTCTCCGTTTTGGCAGGCAGCGGCGATCCAACACACCTCGCCACCGGCGGCGGCGACCCATCCGACCTGGCCCGCCGCAATGGGGAAGAGGAAGAAGGAAAGAGCGGCCAAGGAACCCGGCGAGAACCACCACCTCCATCCACATCCCCAGCCCTCCATCTCCACCCGCGAACGCAAACGCCGGGACCCTGCCCGCACCACCGGATCCGACTCCGAATCCGACCCCTCGCTGCCGTCCACTCCGGACGCCGTTCGCCGCCTGGTCGAGCCCCACTCGAAGCCCCGCCTCGTGGCCATCCTCGCGGAGGCGGCCACGGCCGACCCCGCGCTGCGCGCCCGCCTCGACGCCGCCGCCGCCGCGTCGCCCTCCCACCGCCGGCTCTTCGTCCACGGCCTTCCGCCGCACGCCGACGGCGCCGCGCTCGCGGAGGCCTTCTCCCGCTTCGGTCCCCTCGCGAACTGCCACGCCGTCGCGGACCACCGCGCCTCGGGGTCGTCGGGCCGCTGCAAAGGGTACGGCTTCGTGTCCTTCGCCTCCCGCGCCGCCGCGCGCCGCGCGCTTCGAGAGGCCCCGCGCGTCACCGTCGCCGGCCTCCCCGTCTCCGTCCAGTTCGCATCGGCCGGCCCCGACCCGTCTGGCTGGGGCGGGGGCGCCGGGCGGCGGGTGTACGTGACCAACGTCGCGCCGGACGCCAGCGCGGAGCGGCTGCGCGCGTTCTTCGCGCGGTTCGGGGAGCTCGAGGGCGGGCCGTTCGGCTTCGACGCCGACACCGGGGCGTCCCGCGGGTACGCGCTGTTCGTGTACCAGGCGGCGGCCGGCGCCGCGAAGGCGGTCGAGGAGCCGTACCGCGTGTTCGAGGGGCGCACGCTGCATTGCCAGCTCGCCAACGAACCCTTGCGGAAGACCAAGGCACCCCTGGCGCCTCCGCCGGCGGTGGTGTCAGCTTCGGTTGCCGGAACGCCACCACCGCGGGCGGTACGGCAGCTGGTGCTTGATGCCGCCGCGGCCGCTGGCGTGGTAGACCTTGCAGCTTACGCTCGTGACCCAGCACAGGCTGCAGCGTTGCTTGGCCAGAATCCTGCTCTTGCGGCTGCAACATTGAGCACTGCATTGGCGTCCGGGGATGCCGCTGCCGTTCCCCTCACTCCGGCAGCTGTGTCTGTGCCGATGGAAGTAGCAGTGGCCTCACGAAAACCAGCGACTGCCGTAACAGTGGCACCACCAAGTGGAGGCCCAGGACTGCTTGGGCCATACAAACCGCCATCCTTGCCAGTGGTGTCATCCTCGTCAGGGAGGAAAGGGACACTGATGGGCACCTGATGGAGTCATTGTAATTTGCAACCTTCTCTTGCTGCCAAAAATGGCCTTTTGGTTATTTTACTTATGCGGATTGCAATTGGGTTGGTTTAGTGTCCTTTTCAGTGATTGAGGTTCGATTTATTCATATCTTGATATTAGTTTGCAGAGAGGGACCATGGACACTGCAAATCTTACTTGTGCTCAAGCTCAAGAGGCCTTCAGAAAGTATGACGATGGCTTCTATTTTGTAACCCTGAGACTTGGATGCAAATGTACTTGCGTGATCCTCCATTCTATGGAACTGTGTAGTGTTTCACACTTTCACTTGCCTCATAACCGTCTGATCTGCCAGAAAACTATAAAATATGAGCGGGTTTTGTCTATCAGCAATCAGTATCAGCACTTAGCTTCTACGGTCTTTCCTGGGGTCAGAAAATCTTCGTTCTTTGCATTGTTTTGGTCTCGAGGAATGATGGGGAGGACAAAAAAGTTCGGCACCCGTGTCAGCTCAACTTGCGGTTGATTTATTAGGAGAGATAAACATTATTTTAGGTTGAAAAACTAAGGCTAATTCTGAATGATAGCTGTGAACTTTATTAATGACACATGGAATTGCAAACATTTTTAATGACATATAGGGAAAAGACTCGTACTTTAATTGGTGCACTGATAGTGATGGGCAGTGGGAGTGTCAGATTTGTGCTGGGATCGTTTTAAAATTGCAATATGCTATGCTTGGGGGATTGAAGGGCTAATTTTGATATGTTCACAATTTTGTCTATCAGCAATCAGTATCAGCACTTAGGGCGATGTGAGATGCAGCAACTTGGAGGATGGAAAAGGACGAGTAGAGGAAGAAAAGCAAACAGTTCGGAGGAATAGATCGAAATTAACAGAATGTTTGATACAATTTTTGTTCACCCTTCTCTCTCTCGCCTTGGATACATATACTAGTGCCTACGCCGCTCACAGGTATTCTGCATACTTCTGGTTGGGCCGCCGGATCCGCTTGGGCCGACCGGAGCTTAGCGAGCCATGAGGTAGGCCTGAAGGAGACGTCGTAGTAGCAGGCCCAGCAGGGAGTGGGGTGCTGACATTCCCCCGGTCTTCGGAGCCGGCATGTCCCCAGGCCGGCGCCCTGGGAAACTGCTGTCGCAGGGCGTCGAGAGGTTCCCAGGTGGCGAGCTCGAGCGGTGCGTGTGACCACTGGATGAGGCCTTGTTCCACCGAGCGGTCACCAGCTGACCAGCGACGTTGAAGAACACGCACAGGGACCTGCAGTGGTGCAAAATCAGAAGGCAGAACTGGAGCTACCTGTTGTGACCCTGGGGAGAGCTTAAGCTGGGACACGTGGAACACCGGGTGAACAGCTGCCCCTGGTGGAAGCTCCAACTTATATGCCACTGGACCAATCTGTGACAGAATCTTGAAAGGTCCGAAGAATTTGAACGCCAACTTGTTACAGGAACGTCGTGCAATGGAGGACTGAACATACGGCTGCAGCTTCAAATACACCTGGGCACCCACTGGAAAAGAGCGCTCAGAACGGCCTTTGTCCGCTTGCCTTTTCATCCGTAGCTGAGCACGT